CCTTGTGGTAATGCTCTCCAGACTAGCAAGAGGAAACAGATTAGTTCTTCTTTCAATTCATCAGCCTCGATCAGACATCTTCCAGCTCTTTGACTTAGTCCTTCTGATGACTTCTGGAGTCACCATCTACTCTGGAACGGCCAGAGACATGGTCCAATATTTTACAGAATTGGGTTATCCCTGCCCAAAATACAGCAACCCTGCAGATTTTTATGGTAAGTATCAAATATGATCATAAAAAATAAAATGGATTGCATTAAATTATTTATTTTCCTAAGTTATTTCTGACTAATTTACAGATTTTACTGAACTGAATTTAGATACCAATAGATAATTGTTAAGTGCCTTTAAATTAATACTGAGCTATATTTTATTTTAATAGCCTCTTGCGTCAGTTTCCTTGAGCACATTAGTGCTGCAGTATAAGGAATAATGACCTTGCATAAATAAGTAAATCCCTTATTTTTAGGCTCCATTTTGGGAGGAAAAAAAACTTCTTCACCTGTCCCCTCTTCAGTCAGTCAGAATTTCACTCAGTTGATACAGATAAAGTCTTTAAACCACTATTGCTCTTGCATAATCCCACAGGAGAATCAAATAGTTGAGGAAAGCTCCTAAAAGCGTTATGCACACTATAAGTAAAATTAAAACAGCACTGAAAAAATATTTGATGTGGTATTGGTAGTCTATGTATAAAAAATATTGTAAAGGCAAATGTCAAGACTGCCAGGGGCCAGATTGAAAGTTAGGTTCTTCTGGAGGAGGAAACCAAAAAAGGCTGACTTACAATTAGAACAATTAAGTAGCAGTAATGGAAATGGAGATGTGTGGGACAAGTAACTTTAAGTAATGGTATTTGTTGCAGTCCTCCTCTTCCATCCTTCTTTGCAAGGTAAGAACTATGTTTCCAGTTGCTTAGTTTTGCACCTACTCGTATTCCCATGTTCTGTGTGCACTGAAACTTTCTGCCCAGGTAAGCAACGACTGAGCTATTAAGCCGCCCTCCTGCAAATATCCCTTTGCCTCCTTGTATCCAGGGTGGAAAGCTGTTAATTTGCCAAGGAAAGCAACAGTTTCCGTTCCTGCATGGTATGCTCCCCGTTCAGTTCCCCTTTTATAGGATTCAGGGTTTGCCCCAGGGCAACAACTTTAATCCAGACCAAAAAAAGCATAAAGGCAACTTTAGCTCTTGTCTCCCGGAGGGCCCAAACCTGTCCGTAAAGAAAGACCAGGGCAATCAATCCCCATTACCAGGATAGCTGTGCTGTAGTGACCCCGGCTAGATAGATTTGATTACTATACAAAATACAGTGGGAAAGAAAGACAAACACCAAACAGTGCAGACTCTGCCCATCATTATAATAATCCAAACTCAGAGTCCCACATGCCTTCCTGGTGTATCTGGCATCTTTAGCAGAGACACCCAGGGAATGGATCTGGTCCATAATCTAATGAAAGAGAGAAATACCAAGAGCAGTTTGGACAAGTTATCTTACCTGGAGCTGTTGATTTGACCTGCAGCGATCTTTGCTCCTGGGTTGGCTGGGAGCTCGAGCATGAACACAAGCCACGTTGCTTGCTCTGGAATGACCTCTTTGCGTGTCCTTGGAAGGACCCAATCCCCACCCCCTTTGGTCAGGAAAATATTTATTCTCACTGCAGGCTCCAGAAGGCTGCGAAGCTCCCATCATGCAGCCAGTCTAACACATGAGCTCAGCGGCCCCCTAGCAACAGCCTTGTGGCTGAGCATGACAGGTACCTTGTGCAGCACCCGAGGGCTCCTCGCAGGGAGACCAACAGATAAGAGCCAGGATACAGCCTAGGCTGGGGCTTCTCTGGGCAGCACCGTCTCTCCCATTAGTACCCTCCGAACTAGTGTGTCTAGCCACAGAGAGAGTCTAGAGCAGGGTAGTGCAAGCAGCCAGCTACCTGTGCCCACCGTCACTGCTGATCCCCAACCACTCTGCAGTGAGGGTAAGCACAGACAGAGAAGTAGGCTTCACAGAGAAGGGAAGCTCTGTGGTGCCACAGGCAACAGCGCAGCTCTGTGCCACCAACCCCCTATGCCGGATTAGACCTTTGCGGGCTGGATCTGGCCCATGGCCCATAGGTAGCCAACCCCTAGTTTAGAGCACCATCCTCTAAGCACCCTGACAGCTGCAGTCCTCAGCTGTGGTTAGGGTCATGCCAGACTGCCCCCTAGTTACCTCACTTTGCGCACGGAGCCTGTGGCTGGTGGCCAGGGACTTACACTATCAGCCAGCCTAGAAACCAGGGCACGCAGCTGGCAGTCAGCCCAGCACAAAGCAGAAAGGTCCAAGGCCACAGCCTTTACCCTACAGCAGGAGATGAAAGCCAACCAAAACCTTCCTCTACCAAGTAACAGCCTGTTACCTAGACACCAGCCCAGCGGGCTGTCAAAGTTTACCATGCCCATGACAATCCCTGTGTCCTCATCCCATTTGTAACTGTAAATTCTGGTGATCAGGATGTTGTCTGCCATTTATGTAAGCACTAGGGAACAGTCATTAATATGTAAATCAGAACACTGTGAGCTTGTTTAAACCCCCCAGATTACTGAATCTTCAGCACTAGCATGCCCTGGGAGACGGGGTGTCTGGGTATTTGCATGGTACTCAGGGGAAAGGGCTGCTTGAGCTGATGAAAAACTAGGATTTATTTTTGAGGGTGTCATATTCTCCATCATTTCCAGAGTCTCACCTCTTCTCTAGTTCTGTGCACCACATGCTCTCGTGCTGTTTCATCCCTTGACATTTGCTGAATTAATCCTTAAATGAGGGAGGCAAGACATGGGATCTTGATCTACTGTGCCTTTATATTCATGGAGTAATCCACTTACACTGCCTAGAGACTTGTACAAAAAAAAGCCAGGGTCAAAGCAACAGCTTGTCAGTCATAGTCACTTAACTGAACCTTGATCAATTGTTTTTAAGTGCGGTTTGCCCTTCTGTGAAGACTTGTGGAACCCTATCTTCAGTTTAATGGCATTTGTGTTAGGACATAATTCA